CTGAATGTGGGGAGTGGGGTGTGTTTCTTTCATTTGATCTGTATAGGAATGTAATAAAAATATTTTATTAGTATAACTTGAAATATATTTTATAATAGACGTTTACGTATGTAAATATACGTAATATGAAAACGTATTTTGATCGCGCATTTAAGAATTAATCACATGCATGGAAAAAAGTACATGTGCACATGTATTATGTACATGTACATAATATAAGGATTAAATAAATGTGTTAATGCCTTATTTAACTTACATTTAAATGCAAATGCTTTTAAATTATTCAATCTTTTTATCAAAAAATGCTGTGAAAATTTATTAATACTGAAGAAAATCTCAATAAAAATAGAGAGAAATCACGCAACATTTATGACGTCGCCAGGGACATATATGTCCCTCCCGCAGCGAACGGTAAAAGGACATATATGTCCTTCCCGCAGCCAGAGGGTTAATAAACTAAAGTAAAGTAATAATAATTTATCCACTTTATCTCCAATAAATCATATACAATATAATTATATGGTATTTGCTTATTAAACAAAGTTATCTGGATACGAACTGTGCCGTCTTCAAATATTCTTAATTTTTTTGTTTGATGCTATAGTGACGCGCCATGACGTCATCGTCATCGAAACTCTCTGAGGAAAATTAAAAATAACAATATTATGAAAAAAGAGAATGTTTTTACATTAATTTTATAATAAGAATGTTTTTCTTATGTTTCTAAAGTTCTTAAATTCTTTTTAAATCGTTCTTGAAATAGATACACTATTACAGAAATTCCGCTTTGTCTGAATGTAAAAAACCCTAGCGTGAAGAGTTATCTTTCTTTGCAACAATATGCGTAAAAATGAACAAATAAATTAAAGATATAGAGCTCTGTTTAATTTGTAGAAAGTTTTATTTTACAATTAAACACAATGACTGAAAGTATCATTTTTTTTAAATTAAAAATTCCGCAATCACCAATCTTAATCATTTTAGATTTCTTTTTTTCCCAGAGGATTTCATCAAAAACTAAATTTTATTCCTTTTGCACAACGTTCCATATATATATATATATATATATATATATATATATATATATATATATATATATATATATATATATATATATATGCAACTTGGTGAGTGCAGGTTCATAATGGGAGAAAATAGAGAATATGCAAATATAACAAAATACTGTCTACTACTAAAATCTAAGTCCAGAAATTTTGTGTTATTTATATTTTTTCAAAGTGCGTAATGTGGCTCCGTGGTAAAAAAAAAAAAAATGATGTACACTCTCAACGCACTTTGAAAAAAAAAATTTGTCCCAAATTTTACACACTAGTAGTATAAGCAGCCTGGATGGGGGGGGGTCAACTGAGTGCACTTTTGTCCCCCCCCCCCAGATCCTGGATAGGGGGGTCAACTGAGTACACTTTTTTTTGGCCCCAGATGACCGGTTCAATCTAGTATACATCCTGGAAAAACCCAAGTAAAAAGGGGGGTCTACGTTTAATCTACGTATTGTGCTGAGTCAGGCCTAGGCAATACACAATCTTGGCATAGATTCAAGTATACCATTGTGACGTCATGTGTGTCATTCACACAGAGCTCTATTTTCTGAAAACGGAAAAAACAATAACACAGTCAAAAGTGTGTAAGATGATTTATTCAAGTAATGTACATAATATTTACTTTTTCTTCTGGAGTTTCAGGGTCTTCTCCGTCTGGGTAGTAGGAACTTTCCTCTTGTTGTTAGCCTGCTTTTGATCCTGACTAGTCTCTATTTTCTTTTCTAGATTTCCAATCTCATTCATTATCACTCCTCTAAACACACGAATCTCAGTAATCATGTCTTCTTTAAACTCACAAATAGTCTGTTGAAGTATCTCCATTACATTGGTCATTTGATCTAAGATATCACATATCAAACTTCTTTCATTTCCTTCAATACTATCCTGTGTCTCTGGTATGAGTGCAGGTGAATTCATGGACTTTTCCTCTGCCATATTTTTACGTCTGTCTAGTAACAAATGCCCACTAAGACTGATCCTAAAATATCCACCTCTGCTTTATATACCCTTTTGTACGTACTGTGTACGTCTCAATACTTAGTCTTGGATCAGCGAGCTACCTAGGCATTGTGACGTCATACACTCTATAAATACAGCTTTTCTCCGACTTTCAGCTCATTTTGTTGTCAGATCTATCAAGATGAATTTTGATAGTGCCTTGAAACAATTGTTACATGCACAACAACTTATGAGATGGAAAAAACGAGAGAAAGAATTAGAAAGAATTATTTCTCGACAGAGAACCAGAGAATTAGTTCTCAGGAAAAAAAATGCGAGATTAATGGAAAGATTAAAGAGAGCCAAAGCCAACCGAGCTCAACACCGTCAAGTTTTAAGGAATGTACCTGAAGAAGAAGAACCATCCCCATCACCACCTCATTCACCACCACCACCACCGAAACCAAAGGCCATTTCCCAGTATTACCAAGTGAGACTCAATCAGGCCCGGCATTCCAGAAAATTTAAAGCTGAAGAAGATGTCTACAGTGTGAATTTTAAAGAATTTCCAGAGGAGGAAAACAGAGGCTTTGTTCGGCGATTATTTAGGGACATGCTACAAAATGTCAAATATCAAATGCAGTGTAACCCTAACGATTATGTACGCCTGAACATTCACCACCCTTCTCTGGATTCCGACATTTGGTACGAGTTTACGCAATGTAAACATTTGAACGAGGACGTCATTTTAAACAAAATAGAAGCCGTGCAACAATCTAAGAAAGATTTTAAACTGGGAGACGGGTCTATGGAATTCGACATGTTTCATGTCAAATATCCAGAAGGCAGTGGTGGACAGAATACTAAACACCTGATAAGGAGAGTTTTAAAAAGAATAAACGATGCATCGTTCAGATCGACAATCCTTGGGATAAATTTTGTCTAGCACGAGCCATTGTAGTCACCCGGTTACACAGTGAAAAACCGGAAAATCCAGAGAGTTTAGTTGAATGGGAAAAACAATGGCTACGTATGCGGAAGGGTGATTACAAATATTTAGACCAGAAAAATGAAGCTATAGCTCTCATGGAACAAGCCGGCTGTGATATTCATCAGCCTTGTGGACCCGAAGAATGGGGAAAATTACAACAGGTGTTAGCCCCTCGCTATCGACTGAAAATATTTCAGTTCAAGTCCACCTCCTCTAAACTCAGTTTAGAGCCCCTGTACAAAGGCTGCGGAGATGGAACTTGTTTAAACATTCTGTTAGACGATCATCATTACGATGCTATTTTGTCTATGCCAGCTGTGACGGGTAATCAATACTATTGTGATCATTGCGATGTGGGGTACAAGAACATCACAGAGCATCGTACCAATTGTCCTTACCGCTGTTCATTTTGTTTAACGGACACGCCCTGCCCTCCAGACGGGAGCCACATTCAATGTAGCCAGTGCCAGGGATTTTTTCAGAGCAGAACTTGCTACGAAAACCATTTACGGCCTCACAGTAAGAATACGGCCACAACGGTATGCAGTTTAATGGGACGATGCGAGCATTGTGAGAAATGGATGCCTAAAAAATTACTCCCTCATCATCATTGCGGAGGACAGAAACAATGTAAGATCTGTAAGAAAACTGTAGACACGGATCATCAGTGCTACGTTCAACTGAAGCCTGAGAAAAAGAAAAAGAAAGGCAAAGAAACATTACAGTTTTATATTTATTTCGATTTCGAATGTACACAGGAAAACGGCATCCACGTCCCTAATTTATGTGTGGCACACCGCGTATGTCAGCATTGCGGGCACTTACCCATAGAAGATCGCTGTCCTCACTGTCGACATATGGGACCCCATCAACACGTGTTTAAAGGACCAGATACCTTAAAACACTTCATGGACTGGTTATTACAGCCCGACACAGGGAATAAGAATTCTGCCTTATTACACGACGAGGCCATCATCATTGCCCACAATTTCAAAGGATATGACGGACAGTTCATTTTAAATTACCTAGTGCATTCCGCCTGCATGAAACCTACGGTAATCATGAACGGCAGTAAAATTTTATCCATGCAAATCTGCGGATTAAAATTCATCGACTCTTATAATTTTTTACCTTTTGCTCTGTCTAAAATGCCCTCTGCTTTCGGATTCACCGAACTGAAAAAAGGGTATTTCCCTCACTTTTTTAACACTGAACAGAACCAGAATTATGTGGGGCCTTATCCACCGGCAGCATTCTACAATCCGGACGACATGTCTATAAGTGGACGACAGGCTTTTTATCAATGGTACGAACAACAAGCCGGAAAAGTGTTTGATTTCCAGAAGGAATTTTTAGACTATTGTATTTCAGACGTCGATATTTTACGACGATGCTGTGCTCAGTTTCGAGCCACTCTCAAGACCTTGGTCCATGTAGACCCCTTCCAGGAATCCATCACTTTTGCCAGTGCGGCCAATTCAGCTTACCGTCGAGGATTCATGCCCGAAGATACCACTGCCATCATTCCCAACATGGGGTATCAGCCTGCGAGTCAATATTCCGCCAAAGCCTGTCGGTGGCTAACCTGGATGAGTCAACAGAGCGGATCTCACATACGACATGCTAGAAACGGAGGAGAAGTCAAGATCGGAACTTATACTGTAGATGGATACCAAGAAGCTACTCGTACCATCTACGAATTTTACGGATGCTATTGGCACGGATGCCCTACTTGCTATCCGAATTTACAGACCGAAACTCATCCTCACCGGACACAATTTACTTACCAGGAATTACACGAGGAAACTTTAGGGAGGAATACGGTCTTAGAGGAAATGGGGTATTCCGTACATAGTATCTGGGAACACGATTTCGATCAACAAGTACAAAGAGAGGTGACATTACAGAATTATGTACGAGACCTGGACATTCCAGATCCTTTGAACCCCCGAGAAGCTCTGTACGGAGGCCGGACCAATGCTACAAGATTGTATTGTTAGGAGGGGGACATGAGATACGTGGACGTCTGTTCCTTATACCCTTACGTATTAAAACACAGACTTTTTCCCCTAGGCCATCCTCAGATCATAACAGACCAATTCCAGGACGTGAGAACTTATTTCGGCCTCATTCATTGTCGGGTCTTACCACCCCGAGGGCTTTATCACCCCGTTTTACCTTATCGCACGGGAGACAAGTTATTATTTCCATTATGTCGAACCTGTGCGGAACGACAGGTCTCTACTTCTAAACATCGATGTCAACACACAGACCAGGAACGCAGTCTTACAGGTACTTGGGTGATTACAGAATTACATAAAGCCCTAGACATGGGATATACTTTAGAGCGGATTTACGAGGTTTGGCATTTTCCAGAAAGCAGTCAAGATTTATTCAGATCTTACATCGATACCTTCTTAAAGATCAAACAGGAAGCGTCTGGATTCCCACCTGATTGTCAGACAGAGGAACAGAAACTAGATTACATTCGTAAAGTAATAGACAGAGAAGGCATTAGAATGGACCTATTAAGTATAGAAAAAAATCCGGTGCGAAGAACGATAGCCAAACTCTTTTTAAATTGCTTGTGGGGAAAATTCGCTCAACGCCTCTTATTACCTAAAACTCGATACTTGACCGAAGAAGAGGAATTACAGCAACTCTTACAAGATTCGACCATTGACATCAAAGGGATAGAACTCTTAGAAAATAAAGAGCAGCCCGAATCGGACATGATGCTGGTGAATTATCAAGAGAAACAGGAATTTGTAGAAGAGTGTCCCTTCGGAAACGTGGTACTGGCCTGTTTCACTACCGCTCATGCCCGATTACACCTCTACGAGACTTTACAACCTTTAGGAGATCGGGTCCTTTATTTCGATACGGACAGTATCATATACCAACATAAGGAGAGACAATTTAATCCTACCCTTGGCCATAGTTTAGGAGAATGGACCGATGAATTAGACGGGGACCACATTATCAAATTCATGTCAGGAGGCCCTAAAAATTATGCTTACCTCACCGCCAAGGGAAATTCCGTGTGTAAAGTCAAAGGATTGACTCTTAATTATCGGGCTTCCTATATCGTATCACCAGAGACATTAGAAAAAATGCTCAAGAAAGAAATGGATGAAATCCAAGTCTCGTATCCTTACAAAATACAGAGGACTCGCCAACATGAAGTCAAGACAGTACCTTTAGAAAAACAATATAGAATTGTCTATGATAAGAGACAATTAATGAATGATTATAATACTTTACCTTATGGTTATTAAAAACATACTGTATTTCAAAATGTGTTTTTATTATTGGGGAAACCCCCCCCCCAAAAAAAATGAAGGGGGTTATAAAAAGGGGGCAAAAATATTTGAACACTTCAGTCATGGCTGATCATTCTAGGGAGCCAGAGGGGCTTCCTGTTTACCCTAACTATGCTCTGCTCTTAAAGAGAGAAGCTACCTTTAAAGAGGGATGGCCCGAGTCTTTAAAAGGATTATTACCCAACCTAGCCAAAGCCGGATTTTATTACAGGGGAGTGAGTGATAAGACCATCTGTTTTCATTGTGGTATGACTTTAAACTGCTGGAAACCTACAGACGATCCTTATGTAGAACATGCTTATTGGAACCCTAATTGTCCTTACATCAATACCTATAAAGGACGTGAGTGGGTGATGATCATATTCATTAACCATTTACTCCGGGTGGGATACAAAGTTTCACCTGAAATTAAACCTCTACTAGAGCAAACCTCTACAGAGATTCAGGCCACAGGAAAATGTCACATTTGTTTAGAGGGAGAATTACAAATGGCTTTACTCCCTTGTGGACACGTATGTTGCTGTTCATTATGTGCTCCCACCTTCCGGTATTGCCCCATTTGTCGATCCGATGTGAAGAGAACCCAACGTATATTTCTGTGTTGAATAAAAAGGATTGAAACCCTATTTTTCTCTTCATTTATCATCATGCAACCTGACGAGACACTCCCGTCTTTTCAATTAAAACACGAATTTACCATGGTGGTAGCAGGACCATCTAAATCGGGGAAAACGGAATTTGTTAAAAAATTAGTGGAAAATTTACATTGGATTACCCCCATGCCACAAAAAATAGTCTGGTGTTATCGGGAATGGCAACCTGCTTACACTTCTTTAACAGATCAGGTCTCCTTCATTCGAAATATTCCAGAAGACGATGAGAAATTAATAGCCAATTTAACTATTCCTCACTTACTCATTTTTGACGACATGATGGGAGGAAAAGCCATCGAATCGATCGTGGATTGGTTTACCCGTAAAGCGCATCATCGGAATACCAGTGTGATTTACATCACTCAGAATTTATTTGATCGGGCACCACAGCATCGCACCATTAGTTTGAATGCTCATTATTTAGTGTTGTTTAAAAATCCCAGAGACAAATCTCAAATCAGTGTCTTGAGTCGACAGTTAGCCTTACCTCATTTGATGTCGGCCTATCAAGAAGCCACCAGTGTTCCTCACGGGTATCTCCTGGTTGACTTGAATCCACAGACCCCAGACGAATACAGATTGAGAAGTCGATTGTTTGAATTGTTAACTATACACATGCCACAAGAGTATAAATAAAAATGTACCAACATTAAACTTGTCATTTATCATTATACAGTCGTCATGGGTCCACCTCTCTCAGCCAAGAGTAAATTAGTGAAAACGTTACGACGTTTACAGCGGGAGCGAGATCCTGCCAAGCGAGCCCATTTAATCGAATTAGGGCGTAAAGCCTTATTGAATTGGTTTGCTATGGGAGCTCGAAATTTGATACGTGGAGTCTTACCTATCAATAAACAGACTCAAAAGTTTATTAATAATCATCGTCAAGATTTAAGTATCATAGCCGATAAGTCGGCGAGTGATCAAGACAGAAAAAATGCCATTTTAAAACGCGGAGGAGCCGGATTTCTAGGCGGAGTCATTATTCGTCATTTATTTAAATGGAATGCACCTAAGAAACGACGTGTTCGTCGTTTAAAAAGTGTGGTAGTCAGAGTCAATAATAAGAAACAAAGAGTGTTTCCAGATTGGATGGTCCGAGTAGGAGGAGCAGCTCAAAAGACCAGAAAGAAGAGAAAACCTCAAAAGAGAAAACCTGCTACTCAAAGAACAGCCCCTGGTGGTAGAAAGAAAAAAACGACTCCCAAAACTCCAGCTCAACGAAAAGCCATGCCTGAAAGTTTAAAAAACGAAATCAATCAGTATTATAAAGAACAAAGACAAAAAACTATTGGGGAGTTATTAAAAAAACAAGCTGAAATGAGAATGGATCGTCCTATGGGACCCATAGGCAGTCAAAGAGCTCCCGATTTAGAAATGTTTCCTCAAGTCAATGTGGGAATTCACACTCCTAGAATTAAAGTACCCATTCACACTCCTAAAATAGCACGCTTTCAACCGCTGATCGCTTCTACACCTCAACTTCCTAAAGGAATGAGATATAAATGCCGATATTGTTCTAAATTCTACGTCACCCAGAAAAATAGAGACAAACACGAGAAGGCCAAACACGACATGTATGCTCCTCCTTGAGAGTATAAAAAGGGGAGAAACCTAGGACATATCCTCATTTTAACCCCAGGATGGCTAAGAAGAAGAAGAAAAGATGCTGTTCTACACGATCAAAACCTCACTGGCCTCTTTTAAGAGTGTTATCGGGCCCTCACTATTCCTCTCCATTAAAGACGGGTATTTTAAAACATTGTTCTGGAGATTGTATTCTCAAAATCTGCGAGATCGTGTACAACCTATTAAAAGGAGTGTTACCTCTCAGTTCGGCTCATAAACGAAAACTAGCTCCTAAGAAACACATCTTCAGGAGACTGGTCAAACCTCAATCTGTTCAGAAACGACGAGCTTTATTACTTCAACAAAAAGGAGGAAACATTTTACCCCTTTTAATCTCAGCAGCACCTTTATTGTTAGGTGCCGGTCAATCCGTCTATAAAGTCCTCAAGAAGAAGAAGAAAAAAATATGAGTCGTAAAATGGTGTTAGTTCCTGAAGTCTTATTAAATGATCTCAAGGCCAAATTACCCAAACCTCCGGAATTTCAATCCACCATCAGTTTAGGTCAGGAATTGGACGAGATTACAAGACGTGAAGATTTAACCCCAGAAGAAAAAGTCGCTTTATATGGCCAGGAACTTCATCGATATAGGAATTATTTACAACAAGCTAGACAGGAGCCTATTTCTAAACTGAAAATTCCAGCAGCAGCTCCAGCCCCAGCAGCAGCTCCAGCCCCAGCAGCCGCAGCAGCAGCAGAATTACCAGCAGCTGAAATTGACGATGAAATCCTTGAAACAGTGAATAAAAACATGAAGAGAAAAGCTGGATTATTATTAAATCATTTAAAGAAAAACCCTAAAGTGTTAACTTGGAATAAAGAAGGTGAAATTAGTTATCGAGGTCAAAAAATTCCCGATTCTAACATTGTGGATTTAATGGCTGATACCAGTAGTATGAGATCTTATTTTCGTAAAACTCATCCGGTTCCTACAGGATTAGAACAATTTGCTCAAGCTTTAAAAGAGACGCGTACTCCTCTGGAATACGTGAGCAATGGAAACCTTATAAAAGCCATGCAGAGACCTGGAAAAATCAGTACTCCTAAAAGTCACGAAATAGACGATAGTGGATTTTCTTCCTTTTTTGACACTCCAGTGAGTAGACCTATAGAAGATCGAGGAACCGTCATTAAAAAACCCATTTCAACCCCTGGAGGGACAAGGGTAGGATACAAATATAGTCCCTTTAGAGCTCGAAAGGAATTAAAAGCCAAACTCGAAGAAGAAAAGAAATTAGGACATGTCGATGAAAATTGGCTTTCATTGCCTAAAATATGAAAAAGAAACAAGTAGAAGATATTTTAAAAGAGATTTATTATGATCCTAAAAGAGGATACGGAGGAATACAAGCTTTGTATCGTCAGGTCAAACCTTTAGGAATTTCCCTGAAAAAGATTCGAGAATGGTTAAAAGAGCAAGATACTTATACCTTACATAAACCCATTCAAAGAAAATTCCGGAGACAACAGACTAGAGTGACCGATATAGATGAACAATGGCAATTAGATTTAGCATATGTATCCAGTTTAAAGAAACATAATGATGGATATACTTTTTTATTATGTGCCATTGACGTCTTATCTAAATATGCCTGGGTAGTGCCTTTAAAACAGAAAACAGGAAAAGAAATGATTCGAGGATTACAAGAGATTTTTCAACAAGACGGTCGACGTCCGTCCGCATTCAATCGGATCAAGGAAAAGAATTTACCAATCGAGAATTCTTACAAGCTTTTAAATCCGTTCATTTTTTTACCACTCGTAATACGGACACTAAAGCCAGTGTCGTGGAACGATTTCAGCGTACACTCAAAGCACGCATGTGGCGTTATTTTACTCGTCATAAAACCAGACGGTATTTAGAAGTTTTACCCGATTTAGTGTATGCTTACAATCATACCTATCATCGGAGTATCAAAAGAGCCCCAGTTCAAGTGAATGCTTCTAATGTGTTAAAAGTCTGGAAAACTTTATATGGGACATCTAATCAGAAACAGTTTCTTAAACCTCAGTTTAAAGAAGGAGATCAGGTCCGCATCAGTAAAGCCAAACGCACATTTGAAAAGGATATTTACCTAACTGGACCACAGAACTGTTTACCATTTCTAAAAGAGTTCCTGGAAGGTATCCTTACGTGTATAGAGTGCAAGATTATAACGGAGAGGAATTAGAAGGGACTTTTTACGAAAAAGAATTACACAAGATCATTAAAAAAGACGACGTGTACGAAGTGGAGGAAATCTTGGGGTATAAAAAGCAACGCGTCGGGAAAAAAAATCATTCAAGAAGTCAAAGTTCGGTGGAAAGGATATCCCCCTAGTTTCGATTCATGGATTTCCCAAACGGATCTCATCAAATAACTCCTCATTGGAAATTTTGTGGAGAGAATATTCCTCGAGAAGAAATCGTTTATTTCGCCCAATTATTTATCTGTGTATCTCTTATCATTACCAGTGTGGTCATGTTAGCTTTACATGATCCTAATCGAGAATATTGGATGGTATGTGTCAGTTCTTCAGTAGGTTATATCATGCCTAGTCCTACGATGATCCATCATACCCCTAAGAAGACCACGAATGCACAGGGTTAATGTCTAAAAATAGATACACCACAGAGTATATATAAAATGGGGAAACAACAAAGATTCATTTCTGATCTGACTGAGGATAGAGTAACATGGATTTTTTAAGCTCAGAGTATCGTTGGAAAATGCAAGAGCATACAGGTTCCACTAAAAAAGGAGAATGGATGAAAAATAAAGATGAATGTATCCAAGATTTCATGGATAAGAATCCGGGAGAAACAGGAGTCAATGATGTGTACCTGTATAAGAGAATCAAATTACCGGACCATCAATGTGGACAACTTATAAAAGTAATATTAGGGCCATGCCAACCCCAGTATCAGGAATTCAAATGGAAAGTAAAATACGTTTTCGCTCACAAACCAGAGGGACCAGAAAGGACCTGGATTCAAGGGAAATGGATGGAAGAAATCCGTGATTGTATCAAAGATTATGTAAATAAAGTGCTCAAAGAAGGATACGACATCATGGACTGTGCTTGTGAAACAGAATATTTGTACATGAGGAGAACTTTTCCTATTCAAAAAGAACTATGTCAAAGTGTTCCATGTTTGTTACTTTAATGTTATTGTGAATTAAAAACCTAGAAAAAAAATGTCTTATTTTTTTTCTCTTTCTTCAACTATAACATTTTTGTGACACATGACGTCACAATGCATAGCTAGCTGTGACTTGAATCTCTGCCAAGATTTTGTGTGTATTGCTTATGCCTGACTCAGCATAACGTAAATCAAACGTA